TCTTTCCCTTGGAACTTAGAAGGTGAGGGCAGGAGTCAGGGTCAAAGTCTTCACAGTGGACAGGGCATGGAGCTACCTCGACTCTGCCATCTCAAGCTCCACTGTTATATCTAGGCACAACATAGACAGGACCCTGACCCTGCGTGACCCCTGCTCAGTGAGGCCAGCGGATCTCTGGTGCCAAGGCTGAGGGAAATGACAGCACTGAGAAATGTCTCCCTGTCCCTAATGTACAGATGCAGTCCAGGGAGATGATCAACAACATGCTCAAGGTTAGGGTTCAAGGTGGAGTTAGGGATGAGGGGTCAGGGCTGTGTCTCCAAGTCTCCTCCCCCTATATCTCCCCGCCCCCTGTGTTCCTGCTATTTTTCCTTGCTCACCTCCTGAGCACACAGGGAATCAACCCCCTCAGGCCCTCTGAGAATGTAGCTGCCCTGCATCTGCGGTCATCCATTCCCTCCTGAGAATGTTTTAGAAAGGAAGAGCCTTAAGCCCTCTCCCTGAGTGATCTCCCCCTTCTCCAGCATGGCATGCCGGCCGTGAGAGAATGCTAAGCTACTTTTTGTATGTTCCTTGAATCTTTCACAGATAATCTTGAATCAAGTCTTAAACAATGAAAGCAACATGTTTTGTTCAGATTACAAAATTGAACCTCGTTCACTGCAGAAAACTGGAGAACGATGAGACACAAAAATACAAACCAACCACTACTTCCTTATGCGAAAATAACACTTGTTAGCATTGGAATATCTCTTATGACTATTACACTATGTAACTGAGGCCAGATTCTATGTAATTTCATAGCTTACTTTTTTCTGTTGATATTAATGGGAAATAGTAATAACATTTCCCATGTTATTAAAAAGTCTTCAGTAACATAATCATAATGGCTTTCTATTATCCCATTATATGAATGTGATATCGTTACTTTAAGAACCCTTCTCCTGTTGGATACTTAGGTGATTTCTAGACTTTTTTGCTATTATGATGAATACACTACTATACATTTCTGCTTGATAATTTTGTTGCTGTTGTTGTTATTTAATTTTTTCTTAGGCTAGAGTCCCAGAAGTGGAACCACTGGGTCAAATGAAATTAATTTTTTATAAAAGTTTCCTCCTAATTTTAAAGGATTATAAACTCTGAGCAAAGCAAAGAACATGTCTGTCCTCTCCTGTTTACTTTATCTCCGCAGCACAAAGCAGAGTACTTGGCACCTCACAGTTACTACATGTTTACTGAGTAAGTGAATGAATAAGATAACGCAGGTTTCTAGAAGAACATTTGAAAAATGCGTACAATTATAAAGAACATGTAAAACTTATTTATAATCCCTCTCCGACAAATAAGCAGTCAAAATTCTGGAATGCTAGCTTATACTTACTTTTTTTGTGTTGTTTACACCACATACGGTCACTCACACTTTAAGGATAAATCTGAGGCCATAATAAAAACAGTTTCAACAGTTGTGTTTTTGTTTGTTTGTTTGTTTCTTAACATCATATCCTGGGCATTTTTCATGTCATGAAGTTGATTTAATGGTAGGATTTTTAACGGATGCATTCTATTGCCTGGCTATAATAATTTCTTTAAGCATGCCTCTATTTTTAGATGTAAATTGTCTCCATTTGTAATGATTACAATTAACTTTAAAATGAATATCCTGGCTATAAATCTTTGAGAACATTCCTTGTTCTTTTCATAGAAGAATCTCATTGAAGTGGAGTTGCTGGGTCCAACTGTCTTGATAAGCTTTGCCAAATCTCCTTCTGGGTCCAAAATATATGCACAGAAAAAAAAAAACCAACAGCAGATTTTAGTACTAATTTAAATCTTTTCTGTAATATTTCTACAGAATGGAAAAGAGAAAGAGAGAGAAATCCCCTTTGGAAGAATATTTCAGTATTTACTTTTAAAAATACATTTTTATTGACTTCAGAGAGGAAGAGAGAGGGAGAGAGAGAGATAGAAACATCAATGATGAGAGAGAACCATTGATCGGCTGCCTCCTGCACGCCCCACACTGGGAATCGAGCTTGCAAGCTGGTCATGTGCCCTGACCAGGAATCAAACCACAGCCTCCTTGTTCATAAGTTGGTGATCAACCACTGAGCCACACCAGCTGGACAGAAGAATACTTATTTATTAGAAACAAGTGTTACATAGAATAAAAAAGATTCAGAGACAAATACACCTAAGTAAGATGAGGTCTACCTCTAATTAAGCTCTAACATCAAGGATTGTACTTTCTGAAACTCTATAATTCTCCTACTTTAAAATAAAATTTAACTTTTTTTACTATTATAAAAACAAAAGGTGTGTGTGATGTTTCATGAAATGAGAAGTTGGAGGACACTGAGAGGTGACACCTGCCTTTTGCAGGGGCTGGTGATAGTAGCCGGTTCTAGTATTATGGGGTGGCACCTAAGAACAGAGGAGGGGGACTAATCCCTAAGCCCCTTAAGAGGGGCTATAGGGACAAAAGGTAAACTGACTTAGTACTAAGCACACAGCAACAAGAGGTTCAGAAAAGCACCAGCCTGGTATCGCTGCTCCTGTACCTGGTAAGGGGCAGGCGTAATTTCAGTGACATGAATGGGGAAGGTAGCTCATTCCTGAGACTGGCTCTGGGGATGTTGTGCTTGAGTGAAAGGAAACATCCACACAATGATGGTCTCTGGACAATGCGAAACAGGGTCAGGATCAAACATGGCATTGCTCAGATAGGGAGAGTGGTAAAGGCAGAAGGAATGGACTCTCTTAGAAAGTAAAAGAGGAACCAAGAGCAAAGACATGCATATATGACAGAAATCCTGCCCTCTGATACCTGGAGTCCATCCCACTCTGCCCCCATCATACTCAGCTACAAGCCTAAGCAGCCTGCTGCATTCTGTCCTTGAACCTCACCTTGTTGACTAGACTTGGATCCCATTGTATAACTCAGGGCACTCCTTCCCCACCCAGAGACCAGACTTAGACTCTAGGATCCTTTGCACTAATTTAGATGGACCTTAAAACCCATGGCCAAACACCCCTGTGATGCTGAGAATGGTCATTCCTTAGAAGCTTGTCCACCACAGCTGCTCCTGTCTTTTCAAATCAGGAACCTTGAATGTCTGGGATGACATAGATCAAACTCGTTTGTTTCATCTTAGATGGATCATTTAGGCAGCAGGACCTTTCCTGAAGAGGTTCTATGTAGGTTCCACCTACTCCTTGGAGCTGCCCTGGTGCACTTGCCACATCCTCTCT